CTTCTCAGCAGTGTCATTCGATTTTCGGAGATTGTCAGCCAAAGCAAACAACTTGCCCTACTCATTGGATTTTACTTCCCATCCGGTCGCAACTACTTTTTACAGCCAATTAGTCTAAAAGCAAACAGTTGGCCGTGTGGTACTGAAAACTTTAGCCTAGAAAAAGATCTCCACTTGCCTTCAAAAAAGGGGGTATTTGACTCCTGGCTATTTTTTTTTTTAAGCAATATGGAATTTCTGTGCAGCCAGAATGATTACCTTGCGCTATGATTCTCATCACATAAGCACAACACTTTAACTCATCTGGCATTTCTTTCAGTGCAAAAAAGGCGCAACCTGTTATCGCTCGCCGAAAGCAACTGTCTAAAAATGGCACAAAAATTTCCCGCCGAATTCAACCAAACCGCAAAGGATTATTTGGTACGAGTTACACCAAATGCAGCCCGGTGAGATTTTCCATTAGTCATCGTTGAGAATATCGGAGAAAAAATGCGTAAAAACGCACATTGTGACGAACAGTGATGTGTGTGTGTGTGTGTGTATTTGTGTTTGTGCCTCCGCCCAGATATTGCAACTCGGCAACCAAAAAAGCTTTGCCGCTGAAAATTTGCCAGTGGGATCAGCAGCCAAGTGCCACCCCAAGTCAGTAGACTGGCGTTCATGCGTGTCTGTGCCTCGCCCACGAGCAGGTGAAAGTTTTAGCTAGGAAATTGCTAACTCGGGAACCAGAAGGCTGTAAGTCTGAAATTTTAAGGAGATGTTAAGGAAATACAACTTAGAGATTACAAATCCAGCTCCCAGGTATGCATGATTCTCATGTGCAGGCACTCAAAAGTTTTTGCAAAATAATTGCTTACTGAACAGTTAGGTCATTTTCAAAGAAAGACCCTTAAACGGAAACTGTTCACTTCCTTTTTGCAAAATTTACGATGATTTACGCTACTGAGCGCACAGGGTAGGTGTAAAATGACGACTATTCATGCAGTTAATGATCTAATTGCTTCATGTTTAGTACAAAAATGCGTGATCGAACCGGGAAGCTTGATGCATTCCAGCTTAGGATTCCTAAATGGTCGGGTTCAGAGAATGAAAATAAAATCATTGACTGAAAGCTTCTCCTTTCTTAGTTTAGCGCAAGCCACAAGTATGAAATTAATTTTTATGGGGTTTTTGCTGTAAGTTGCATGAAACGCGTGTTGTCAGTACCCCATACGTGTGCGTGCCCAAATATATTTAGTCCCAGATTTTCAGTTCAAGCTTTTCCAGCTAGGACGCTGAAATTTTGGAACGGTATTCTATGCCCACGTGCGATCTTGTAAAAATTTAAATTCCGCTTCCACATGCCTGTGCCTTACATGCGCATACTTGGAAGTTTTGGCACAAGAATTATTAACTCGGGAAAAGTCCGGGAGTAGTGATTTTACAGCGATGTTCTAGGCCCTCGTGTAATCCAAAAACATCAACTTCAGCTTTCATTCACGTCTAGGTCTCACGGAACTTTGTCAAGAAAGTCGCTAACTTGGGAGCCAGAAAAGCTAGGAAGCCGAATAGAAGGTGTTGGGACCATCGTCAAAGAACCACGCAAATGAGACACAATCCACCTCGCACTTCAAGTCCCCAGAATTGATTACAATCCTGGCAGTGAACCCCGCCCCACGGGCACTTCCTAGAAATTTGGAGATTCATAGTGTACCCTGAGTTGTAAGGAATAGAATACTATGGATCCTAGGCTCCACGCGTCAGCCGGTACAGAAATCCCGACATCATATCCCTCGGGGATT